GTAAACTAAACAATACCCCCCTCAGGGAGAATATTGTACCTAGTAAACTAAACAATACCCCCCTCAGTGAGAATATTGTGCTGAGTAAACTAAACAATACCCCCCTCAGTGAGAATATTGTACCGAGTAAACTAAACAATACCCCCCTCAGTGAGAATATTGTACCGAGTAAACTAAACAATACCCCCCTCAGTGAGAATATTGTGCCGAGTAAACTAAACAATATCCCCCTCAGTGAGAATATTGTACCTAGTAAACTAAACAATACCCCCCTCAGTCTGTATGTTATGCCAAGTAAACTAAACAATACCCCCTCAGTGAGAATATTGTACCGAGTAAACTAAACAATACCCCCCTCAGTGAGAATATTGTGCCGAGTAAACTAAACAATATCCCCCTCAGTGAGAACATTGTACCGAGTAAACTAAACAATACCCCCCTCAGTGAGAATATTGTGCCGAGTAAACTAAACAATACCCCCCTCAGTCTGTATATTATGCCAAGTAAACTAAACAATACCCCCCTCAGTGAGAATATTGTGCTGAGTAAACTAAACAATACCCCCCTCAGTCTGTATGTTATGCCAAGTAAACTAAACAATACCCCCTCAGTGAGAATATTGTACCGAGTAAACTAAACAATACCCCCCTCAGTGAGAATATTGTGCCGAGTAAACTAAACAATATCCCCCTCAGTGAGAACATTGTACCGAGTAAACTAAACAATACCCCCCTCAGTGAGAATATTGTGCTGAGTAAACTAAACAATGTCCCCCTCAGTCTGTATGTTATGCCAAGTAAACTAAACAATATCCCTCTCAGTGAGAATATTGTGCCTAGTAAACTAAACAATACCCCCCTCAGTGAGAATATTGTGCTGAGTAAACTAAACAATACCCCTCTCAGGGAGAATATTGTGCAGAGTAAACTAAACAATACCCCCCTCAGTGAGAATATTGTACCGAGTAAACTAAACAATACCCCCCTCAGTGAGAATATTGTGCCGAGTAAACTAAACAATACCCCCCTCAGTGAGAATATTGTACCTAGTAAACTAAACAATACCCCCCTCAGTCTGTATGTTATGCCAAGTAAACTAAACAATACCCCCTCAGTGAGAATATTGTACCGAGTAAACTAAACAATACCCCCCTCAGTGAGAATATTGTGCCGAGTAAACTAAACAATATCCCCCTCAGTGAGAACATTGTACCGAGTAAACTAAACAATACCCCCCTCAGTGAGAATATTGTGCCGAGTAAACTAAACAATACCCCCCTCAGTCTGTATATTATGCCAAGTAAACTAAACAATACCCCCCTCAGTGAGAATATTGTGCTGAGTAAACTAAACAATACCCCCCTCAGTGAGAACATTGTGCCGAGTAAACTAAACAATACCCCCCTCAGTGAGAATATTTTGCCGAGTAAACTAAACAATACCCCCCTCAGTGAGAATATTATGCCGAGTAAACTAAACAATACCCCCCTCAGTGAGAACATTGTGCCGAGTAAACTAAACAATACCCCCCTCAGTGAGAATATTGTGCCGAGTAAACTAAACAATACCCCCCTCAGTGAGAACATTGTACCGAGTAAACTAAACAATACCCCCCTCAGTGAGAATATTATGCCGAGTAAACTAAACAATATCCCCCTCAGTGAGAATATTATGCCGAGTAAACTAAACAATACCCCCCTCAGTGAGAACATTGTGCCGAGTAAACTAAACAATACCCCCCTCAGTGAGAACATTGTGCCGAGTAAACTAAACAATACCCCCCTCAGTGAGAATATTGTGCCGAGTAAACTAAACAATACCCCCCTCAGTGAGAACATTGTACCGAGTAAACTAAACAATACCCCCCTCAGTGAGAATATTGTACCGAGTAAACTAAACAATACCCCCCTCAGTGAGAATATTGTGCTGAGTAAACTAAACAATACCCCCCTCAGTGAGAATATTGTACCAAGTAAACTAAACAATACCCCCCTCAGTGAGAATATTGTACTGAGTAAACTAAACAATATCCCCCTCAGTGAGAATATTGTGCTGAGTAAACTAAACAATACACCCTCAGTGAGAATATTGTGCTGAGTAAACTAAACAATACCCCCCTCAGTGAGAATATTGTACCGAGTAAACTAAACAATACCCCCCTCAGTGAGTATATTGTGCTGAGTAAACTAAACAATGTCCCCCTCAGTCTGTATGTTATGCCAAGTAAACTAAACAATATCCCCCTCAGTGAGAATATTGTGCTGAGTAAACTAAACAATATCCCCCTCAGTGAGTATATTGTGCCGAGTAAACTAAACAATACCCCCTCAGTGAGAATATTGTACCGAGTAAACTAAACAATACACCCTCAGTGAGAATATTGTGCCGAGTAAACTAAACAATACCCCCTCAGTCTGTATGTTATGCCAAGTAAACTAAACAATATCCCCCTCAGTGAGAATATTGTACCAAGTAAACTAAACAATACCCCCTCAGTGAGAATATTGTACCTAGTAAACTAAACAATACCCCCCTCAGTGAGAATATTGTGCCGAGTAAACTAAACAATACCCCCTCAGTGAGAATATTGTACCGAGTAAACTAAACAATACACCCTCAGTGAGAATATTGTGCCGAGTAAACTAAACAATACCCCCTCAGTAAGAATATTGTACCGAGTAAACTAAACAATACACCCTCAGTGAGAATATTGTGCCGAGTAAACTAAACAATACCCCCTCAGTGAGAATATTGTACCGAGTAAACTAAACAATACACCCTCAGTGAGAATATTGTACCTAGTAAACTAAACAATACCCCCCTCAGTGAGAATATTGTGCCGAGTAAACTAAACAATACCCCCTCAGTGAGAATATTGTACCGAGTAAACTAAACAATACACCCTCAGTGAGAATATTGTGCCGAGTAAACTAAACAATACCCCCTCAGTAAGAATATTGTACCTAGTAAACTAAACAATACACCCTCAGTGAGAATATTGTGCTGAGTAAACTAAACAATACCCCCCTCAGTGAGAATATTGTACCGAGTAAACTAAACAATACCCCCCTCAGTCTGTATATTATGCCGAGTAAACTAAACAATACCCCCCTCAGTAAGAATATTGTGCCGAGTAAACTAAACAATACCCCCCTCAGTCTGTATATTATGCCGAGTAAACTTAACAATATCCCCCTCAGTGAGAATATTGTGCTGAGTAAACTAAACAATATCCCCCTCAGTGAGAATATTGTACCTAGTAAACTAAACAATACCCCCCTCAGTCTGTATATTATGCCGAGTAAACTAAACAATACCCCCCTCAGTGAGAATATTGTGCCGAGTAAACTAAACAATACCCCCCTCAGTAAGAATATTGTACCGAGTAAACTAAACAATACCCCCCTCAGTCTGTATATTATGCCGAGTAAACTAAACAATACCCCCCTCAGTAAGAATATTGTGCCGAGTAAACTAAACAATACCCCCCTCAGTCTGTATATTATGCCGAGTAAACTTAACAATATCCCCCTCAGTGAGAATATTGTGCCAAGTAAACTAAACAATACCCCCTCAGTGAGAATATTGTGCCGAGTAAACTAAACAATGTCCCCCTCAGTGAGAATATTGTACCAAGTAAACTAAACAATGTCCCCCTCAGTGAGAATATTATGCCAAGTAAACTAAACAATACCCCCTCAGTGAGAATATTGTGCCGAGTAAACTAAACAATACCCCCCTCAGTGAGTATATTGTGCCGAGTAAACTAAACAATGTCCCCCTCAGTCTGTATATTATGCCGAGTAAACTAAACAATACCCCCCTCAGTCTGTATATTATGCCAAGTAAACTAAACAATACCCCCCTCAGTGAGAATATTGTGCCGAGTAAACTAAACAATACCCCCTCAGTGAGAATATTGTACCGAGTAAACTAAACAATACCCCCCTCAGTCTGTATATTATGCCGAGTAAACTAAACAATACCCCCCTCAGTAAGAATATTGTGCCGAGTAAACTAAACAATACCCCCCTCAGTCTGTATATTATGCCGAGTAAACTTAACAATATCCCCCTCAGTGAGAATATTGTGCCAAGTAAACTAAACAATATCCCCCTCAGTGAGAATATTGTGCCAAGTAAACTAAACAATACCCCCCTCAGTGAGAATATTGTGCCGAGTAAACTAAACAATACCCCCTCAGTGAGAATATTGTACCGAGTAAACTAAACAATACCCCCCTCAGTCTGTATATTATGCCGAGTAAACTAAACAATACCCCCCTCAGTGAGAATATTGTGCTGAGTAAACTAAACAATACCCCCCTCAGTCTGTATATTATGCCAAGTAAACTAAACAATACCCCCCTCAGTGAGAATATTGTGCTGAGTAAACTAAACAATACCCCCCTCAGTAAGTATATTGTACCTAGTAAACTAAACAATACCCCCCTCAGTGAGAATATTGTGCCGAGTAAACTAAACAATACCCCCCTCAGTCTGTATATTGTGCCGAGTAAACTAAACAATACCCCCCTCAGTGAGAATATTGTACCTAGTAAACTAAACAATATCCCCCTCAGTCTGTATATTGTGCCGAGTAAACTAAACAATACCCCCCTCAGTAAGAATATTGTACCGAGTAAACTAAACAATACCCCCCTCAGTCTGTATATTATGCCGAGTAAACTAAACAATACCCCCCTCAGTAAGAATATTGTGCCGAGTAAACTAAACAATACCCCCCTCAGTCTGTATATTATGCCGAGTAAACTTAACAATATTCCCCTCAGTGAGAATATTGTGCCGAGTAAACTAAACAATGTCCCCCTCAGTCTGTATATTATGCCGAGTAAACTAAACAATACCCCCCTCAGTCTGTATATTATGCCAAGTAAACTAAACAATACCCCCCTCAGTGAGAATATTGTGCCGAGTAAACTAAACAATACCCCCTCAGTGAGACTATTGTGCAGAGTAAACTAAACAATACTCCCTTCAGTGACTACGCCGCCTATGACCACCACAGAGCCGATGGGAGACTGCTGGAGAGCGTACCAGAAGGCTATAAAGGAGCAGGCGTATGATCGCGGTGTAATGCTGCCCACGTGCCAGAGTAACGGACTGTACGCTAAGAGCCAGTGTCATGGTACCTACTGTTGGTGTGTTAACGAGTTGAACGGAGTGATGGTCAACGGGACTAGGAAACCTGGCCCCATCGACTGTGAACTGTGTATGTTATCATTTCATCTTCGTTTAACTGTTAATACTGTTTGTTTAACATTATACTCAAATAAGAACTTGACAAGATGTCTGTAACCCAAATATCACTCTCTCCTCTCTCCCACAGATGTAGACGGAGTGTGCCCGGAGTACGCCCGGGAGCACGACAGTGTCTGTATTAACAAGTGCGACGCTGACGAGAGCTGCTACGGAACAACCAAGTGTTGCCAAACTCACTGTGGGCGCGATTGTGTTTATCCGCAACTACCCGAGCAATGTAGTTTACTTTATTCTACTTTCTCTACTTCAGTTTATATTATATTCAGCGATCATGTCTTAATAACGGGGCGGTACTTCAGCTTCCGTCTATTCATCCCATTTCATAATTTTTCAAACCTTGTATTGTTATTAATATTTTGAGGTTTTACATATCCACAGTGAAAGAAGGTCAGTGTCCTGCCCCACAAAGTATGAACACAATATTCGAGCAGTGTGCTGTGGAGTGCAACAATGATCAGGACTGCGATGATGCGACTAAATGCTGCTTCAATGGCTGCGGTTACTCTTGTAGTGCAGCCATCTACGATGCTAGTGAGTAACTCGTTAATCTATTAACTTAGTAACTAGGCAACTTAGTAACTAAGCAACCAAGTAACTAAGCAACTTAGTAACTAAGCAACCTAGTAAATTATTAGAAATAATCTGAAGATATTTATTAAGTTAGTTAAAACTGCAACACTCTAAGAAGACAATGTTCCCCAGATATCTACTGCAAGAAAGTGGACTCCCTGTACAAAGGAGAGGTGCTGGACCCACGTGACCAATACACTGAAGGAGATGTGTTGAAGCTGGAATGTGATGAAGGGTACGAGCTGCAAGGCCACCAGGAAATCAGATGTCTTGCTGATGGGGACTGGGAGCACGAGCTGCCTACCTGTAAAAGTGAGTATCTTCAGCAATGTAATGCTCAACTTCAGCAATGTAATCCTCAACTTCAGCAATCTTTATAACAGCTGGGGTACTCGGTGTTAACTTACTTTCAGACTAGCATCAACCCTCCACACTATACCAGGGCCATTTTAACTGACCCCATGATTTTTATTGACCGTTCATCCCCAGGAATAAGTTGTGGAGTGCCCGGGTCTGGACAGTTCATGGTGGTGCGAGGAAGTGACTACTTTGCCGGGGGTGAGATCGCATACCATTGTTACAGTGGGTATGAACTGATCGGCAACTCTTCAGCTATCTGTCTTGTGAGCGGCAGATGGAACAGTGAACCACCTACATGTCAACGTCAGTACAACTTTATAATTATAATTATCTCATACTGTGTATCCTAACTGTGTATCCTAACTGTGTATCCTAACTGTGTATCCTAACTGTGTATCCTAACTGTGTATCCTAACTGTGTCTCATAATTGTGTCTCCTAACTGTGTATCCTAACTTTGTATCCTAACTGTGTATCCTAACTTTGTATCCTAACTGTGTATCCTAACTGTGTATCCTAACTGTGTATCCTAACTGTGTCTCATAATTGTGTCTCCTAACTGTGTATCCTAACTGTGTATCCTAACTGTGTATCCTAACTGTGTCTCCTAACTGTGTCTCCCAAGTGTGTCTCCTGACTGTGTCTCCTAACTGTGTATCCTAACTTTGTATCCTAACTTTGTATCCTAAATTTGTATCCTAACTTTGTATCCTACCCCAGGTGTTGAGTGCCCGGAGATGAACGAGTTACCTTATGGACGAGTGTACGGGAGGATGATGACCTATGGTAACAGGATAGGTTTCAGGTGTGATTACGGGTACACTCTGGTGGGGTCCGAACAGAGACTGTGTCTTAGTGACGGTTCCTGGTCTGGTACTGATCCTACTTGTGTTAGAGGCTACTTCTCACGTCAGTCTCTAGTTATTAGTCTTAACATTACTTCTTCAACAAGGAATCAAATTATACATTATCTGCTCAAGTTTCTTTCCCTACAATACAGTTTAATATAAAAACATAATGGTCAGAATAACACCTGACATTATTGTGCCATGTGATCTAGAATTGTTTGTTTGCAATCTTTTCTAGAACAGATCAATGAGCAAATCAAATGAACCCATTTGTAATACTTGATTTTGTTTTTACAGGACTAGAGTTGTTGACAAAATAGTCGATTGAAATGAGCATAATAGAAATATCTAATGAGCAAATGAACAACTGTCTCCCCTAGCTGTGTTAGAAACAAACAATAATAATTGTTTGATTTGTTAAATATGAGCAGGGCTCGAAATAGCAGGGTTGGTAGCTGAATACAAACTACAAACTAGTTGTGTAATGTTTACTGCTTTATAACCAGTACTCCCCCCTCCCCCCCCCCCCCCCTGCTTTATAACCAGTACTCCCCCCCTCCCCCCCCCCCCCACTAGAGGAGACTTGTACACTAACAGTAAGGTCCCTAGGAAGCAGAAGGAACAAGTTCGGAACACAAAACGAAGAAGGATCAGAGTTTGGTAACGGCAAGTGTCAGTACGCAGTAACCAGCACCATCGACTTTAATGGAGAGTGTCTGGAGGATGTCATCACCATCGACTGTCAGTGTGGTGAACCTGACTCTGTTGAGGTGAGCAGGATAACACAGGAGAGATAGATATGAGCAGGATAACACAGGAGAGATAGATATGAGCAGGATAACACAGGAGAGATAGATATGAGCAGGATAACACAGGAGATATAGATATGAGCAGGATAACACAGGAGATATAGATATGAGCAGGATAACACAGGAGATAGATGTGAGCAGGATAACACAGGAAAGATAGATGTGAGCAGGATAACACAGGAGAGATAGATGTGAGCAGGATAACACAGGAGAGATAGATATGAGCAGGATAACACAGGAGAGATGGATGTGAGCAGGATAACACAGGAGAGATAGATGTGAGCAGGATAACACAGGAGATATAGATATTTTAATTCCTGTTTAATTCCTGTTTAATTCCTGTTTAGATATGAGCAGGATAACACAGGAGAGATAGATATGAGCAGGATAACACAAGAGAGATAGATGTGAGCAGGATAACACAGGAGAGATAGATGTGAGCAGGATAACACAGGAGAGATAGATATGAGCAGGATAACACAGGAGAGATAGATGTGAGCAGGATAACATAGGAGAGATAGATATGAGCAGGATAACACAGGAGATAGATGTGAGCAGGATAACACAGGAAAGATAGATGTGAGCAGGATAACACAGGAAAGATAGATGTGAGCAGGATAACACAGGAGAGATAGATGTGAGCAGGATAACACAGGAGAGATAGATATGAGCAGGATAACACAGGAGAGATAGATGTGAGCAGGATAACACAGGAGAGATAGATGTGAGCAGGATAACACAGGAGATAGATGTGAGCAGGATAACACAGGAGAGATAGATATGAGCAGGATAACACAGGAGAGATAGATGTGAGCAGGATAACACAGGAGAGATAGATGTGAGCAGGATAACACAGGAGAGATAGATATGAGCAGGATAACACAGGAGAGATAGATATGAGCAGGATAACACAGGAGAGATAGATATGAGCAGGATAACACAGGAGAGATAGATGTGAGCAGGATAACACAGGAGAGATAGATGTGAGCAGGATAACACAGGAGAGATAGATGTGAGCAGGATAACACAGGAGATATAGATATGAGCAGGATAACACAGGAGATTGATGTGAGCAGGATAACACAGGAGATATAGATATGAGCAGGATAACATAGGAGAGATAGATATGAGCAGGATAACACAGGAGAGATAGATATGAGCAGGATAACACAGGAGATATAGATATGAGCAGGATAACACAGGAGAGATAGATGTGAGCAGGATAACACAAGAGAGATAGATGTGAGCAGGATAACACAGGAGAGATAGATGTGAGCAGGATAACACAGGAGAGATAGATGTGAGCAGGATAACACAGGAGATATAGATATGAGCAGGATAACACAGGAGATAGATGTGAGCAGGATAACACAGGAGATATAGATATGAGCAGGATAACATAGGAGAGATAGATATGAGCAGGATAACACAGGAGAGATAGATATGAGCAGGATAACACAGGAGATATAGATATGAGCAGGATAACACAGGAGATAGATGTGAGCAGGATAACACAGGAGAGATAGATATGAGCAGGATAACACAAGAGAGATAGATGTGAGCAGGATAACACAGGAGAGATAGATGTGAGCAGGATAACACAGGAGAGATAGATGTGAGCAGGATAACACAGGAGGGATATATATGAGCAGGATAACACAGGAGAGATAGATATGAGCAGAATAAAACAGGAGAGATAGATGTGAGCAGGATAACACAGGAGAGATAGATGTGAGCAGGATAACACAGGAGATATAGATATGAGCAGGATAACACAGGAGATATAGATATGAGCAGGATAACATAGGAGAGATAGATGTGAGCAGGATAACATAGGAGAGATAGATATGAGCAGGATAACACAGGAGAGATAGATATGAGCAGGATAACATAGGAGAGATAGATGTGAGCAGGATAACATAGGAGAGATAGATGTGAGCAGGATAACACAGGAGAGATAGATGTGAGCGGGATAACATAGGAGAGATAGATATGAGCAGGATAACACAGGAGAGATAGATATTAGATATGAGCAGGATAACATAGGAGAGATAGATGTGAGCAGGATAACATAGGAGAGATAGATGTGAGCAGGATAACACAGGAGAGATAGATATGAGCAGGATAACACAGGAGAGATAGATGTGAGCGGGATAACATAGGAGAGATAGATATGAGCAGGATAACACAGGAGAGATAGATATGAGCAGGATAACACAGGAGAGATAGATGTGAGCAGGATAACACAGGAGAGATAGATGTGAGCAGGATAACACAGGAGATATAGATATGAGCAGGATAACACAGGAGATATAGATGTGAGCAGGATAACACAGGAGAGATAGATGTGAGCAGGATAACACAGGAGATATAGATATGAGCAGGATAACACAGGAGATTGATGTGAGCAGGATAACACAGGAGATATAGATATGAGCAGGATAACATAGGAGAGATAGATATGAGCAGGATAACACAGGAGAGATAGATATGAGCAGGATAACACAGGAGATATAGATATGAGCAGGATAACACAGGAGAGATAGATGTGAGCAGGATAACACAAGAGAGATAGATGTGAGCAGGATAACACAGGAGAGATAGATGTGAGCAGGATAACACAGGAGAGATAGATGTGAGCAGGATAACACAGGAGATATAGATATGAGCAGGATAACACAGGAGATAGATGTGAGCAGGATAACACAGGAGATATAGATATGAGCAGGATAACATAGGAGAGATAGATATGAGCAGGATAACACAGGAGAGATAGATATGAGCAGGATAACACAGGAGATATAGATATGAGCAGGATAACACAGGAGATAGATGTGAGCAGGATAACACAGGAGAGATAGATATGAGCAGGATAACACAAGAGAGATAGATGTGAGCAGGATAACACAGGAGAGATAGATGTGAGCAGGATAACACAGGAGAGATAGATGTGAGCAGGATAACACAGGAGGGATATATATGAGCAGGATAACACAGGAGAGATAGATATGAGCAGAATAAAACAGGAGAGATAGATGTGAGCAGGATAACACAGGAGAGATAGATGTGAGCAGGATAACACAGGAGATATAGATATGAGCAGGATAACACAGGAGATATAGATATGAGCAGGATAACATAGGAGAGATAGATGTGAGCAGGATAACATAGGAGAGATAGATATGAGCAGGATAACACAGGAGAGATAGATATGAGCAGGATAACATAGGAGAGATAGATGTGAGCAGGATAACATAGGAGAGATAGATGTGAGCAGGATAACACAGGAGAGATAGATATGAGCAGGATAACACAGGAGAGATAGATGTGAGCGGGATAACATAGGAGAGATAGATATGAGCAGGATAACACAGGAGAGATAGATATGAGCAGGATAACACAGGAGAGATAGATGTGAGCAGGATAACACAGGAGAGATAGATGTGAGCAGGATAACACAGGAGATATAGATATGAGCAGGATAACACAGGAGATATAGATATGAGCAGGATAACACAGGAGATATAGATATGAGCAGGATAACACAGGAGATATAGATATGAGCAGGATAACATAGGAGAGATAGATGTGAGCAGGATAACATAGGAGAGATAGATATGAGCTGGATAACACAGGAGAGATAGATATGAGCAGGATAACATAGGAGAGATAGATGTGAGCAGGATAACATAGGAGAGATAGATGTGAGCAGGATAACACAGGAGAGATAGATGAGAGCAGGATAACACAGGAGATATAGATATGAGCAGGATAACACAGGAGATATAGATATGAGCAAGATAACATAGGAGAGATAGATGTGAGCAGGATAACATAGGAGAGATAGATATGAGCAGGATAACACAGGAGAGATAGATATGAGCAGGATAACATAGGAGAGATAGATGTGAGCAGGATAACATAGGAGAGATAGATGTGAGCAGGATAACACAGGAGATATAGATATGAGCAGGATAACATAGGAGAGATAGATATGAGCAGGATAACACAGGAGAGATAGATATGAGCAGGATAACACAGGAGATATAGATATGAGCAGGATAACACAGGAGATAGATGTGAGCAGGATAACACAGGAGAGATAGATATGAGCAGGATAACACAAGAGAGATAGATGTGAGCAGGATAACACAGGAGAGATAGATGTGAGCAGGATAACACAGGAGAGATAGATGTGAGCAGGATAACACAGGAGGGATAGATATGAGCAGGATAACACAGGAGAGATAGATATGAGCAGAATAAAACAGGAGAGATAGATGTGAGCAGGATAACACAGGAGAGATAGATGTGAGCAGGATAACACAGGAGATATAGATATGAGCAGGATAACACAGGAGATATAGATATGAGCAGGATAACATAGGAGAGATAGATGTGAGCAGGATAACATAGGAAAGATAGATATGAGCAGGATAACACAGGAGAGATAGATATGAGCAGGATAACATAGGAGAGATAGATGTGAGCAGGATAACATAGGAGAGATAGATGTGAGCAGGATAACACAGGAGAGATAGATGTGAGCGGGATAACATAGGAGAGATAGATATGAGCAGGATAACACAGGAGAGATAGATATTAGATATGAGCAGGATAACATAGGAGAGATAGATGTGAGCAGGATAACATAGGAGAGATAGATGTGAGCAGGATAACACAGGAGAGATAGATATGAGCAGGATAACACAGGAGAGATAGATGTGAGCGGGATAACATAGGAGAGATAGATATGAGCAGGATAACACAGGAGAGATAGATGTGAGCAGGATAACACAGGAGAGATAGATGTGAGCAGGATAACACAGGAGATATAGATATGAGCAGGATAACACAGGAGATATAGATATGAGCAAGATAACATAGGAGAGATAGATGTGAGCAGGATAACATAGGAGAGATAGATATGAGCAGGATAACACAGGAGAGATAGATATGAGCAGGATAACATAGGAGAGATAGATGTGAGCAGGATAACATAGGAGAGATAGATGTGAGCAGGATAACACAGGAGAGATAGATGTGAGCGGGATAACATAGGAGAGATAGATATGAGCCAGGGACAAAAGGAAATCGCGGCATGTACGGAATCGCGATTTTTCCCATTATTTGCGACAAATTTTATGTATAGTTTAATATACCGCGAAATGTAATTCGCGGTATCGCGATTTTTGGCCAAAATTACCGCGAAATCCTTTTGTCCCTGATATGAGCAGGATAACACAGGAGAGATAGATATTAGATATGAGCAGGATAACATAGGAGAGATAGATGTGAGCAGGATAACATAGGAGAGATAGATGTGAGCAGGATAACACAGGAGAGATAGATGTGAGCGGGATAACATAGGAGAGATAGATATGAGCCAGGGACAAAAGGAAATCGCGGCATGTACGGAATCGCGATTTTTCCCATTATTTGCGACAAATTTTATGTATAGTTTAATATACCGCGAAATGTAATTCGCGGTATCGCGATTTTTGGCCAAAATTACCGCGAAATCCTTTTGTCCCTGATATGAGCAGGATAACACAGGAGAGATAGATATTAGATATGAGCAGGATAACATAGGAGAGATAGATGTGAGCAGGATAACATAGGAGAGATAGATGTGAGCAGGATAACACAGGAGAGATAGATGTGAGCGGGATAACATAGGAGAGATAGATATGAGCAGGATAACATAAGAATTATTCATTGCTTATGCATTCTGACATTTATCATTTAAGTTCGTAAATTTGATTTCTTATACCTACACAACTGTAACTGAATCAATATAACCAATCAAATCATTCCAGCAAAAGGTAAAGGTGCTGTGTCAGCGAGGAGTTAACGAGTTTGTAGAGAGGACAGTGAAGATCGGCAAGGACTGTTCCTGTTGCGTGTAGGAATCACATGATAAGATGTAGTGAGCACTATATCGGAACTGGTTATCGTTTAGTGGTGGTGATTAAATTCACTGCTTTGTCAGCTAGGACTTAGGAGGTTGTTGAGTTACCGGACCCTCAACTACTAGAGCCTTATATTTCCACTAATATTACATTTCATAACTGTTACATTGTAACTGTGTATTATTAATGTATAACTCATATGCCCAGATATAACTTAATAGTTTACTCGTATTACAGTGAAAGGTTGCCTGTTGATAGCATGTCGCACTAATAAAAATATCAGCTAAGAAATACCTTGCCGGGCCTTTAATGTATCGTCTAAGGCCTGCAAAACTAAGGGCCGATAAGTTAAGTTCATTTCTCGTCAAAAGTTTTATATTGTATTTCTAACGTTTTATATGGCATTTATATTAATTTAACAAGTTTTATACTGTTGATACCTCGTTCTTTTATCAGTTGTATAGTAGAAATGTTTCCTGACACACGTATTTGTACATAACAATAAAACTGATTAGAGAAGTAGGTGACTAGAAAATGCTTTGCTACTTTCGTTCACTTTCAGATTTACATTTTATAGATTTTTATCTAAATTATTGCTTATCACAATGTACTTATTGTGGTTAACGATCATTAAACTGATACATGTTGATATTTATAGGATTTTGTCTACTTTTTAGGGAAAATGGTTAATCACTCTACACTCGACTATTACGTGACTTAGTTAAACACTTTCTCTAGATGGCCCTAAGGGACCTTTCAAAACCTTTTCTCTCTACTCTGTCCCTAACCCAATCCCTAACTGAAGCATATGCTAAAACCCTAACCACTAACGATAAATTAGACTAACTTCCTTAAATGGTCATGTCACGTGATTGGAAATAGCGTTCAAAAATACATCGATTCTAGTTGATTCTAACCTGTCGGAGACCCTTTTAGAAATATCTCCAAGTTCGAGTGTAGAACGATTTTGCACGATCGACTTTTTAGCGTTATCAAATTATCGATCACTGATAAACAATCGTGTATGGGGTTAAATCTCTGAGACATAACACATTTGAAGGGATTGGGAACCTGAAGAAAGAAAACATGTAAATTATAAAAAGCTTTATATTTTGCTTTATATATCATACAAATCGACTGTTTTATCAAATTTTTATCAAATTAAACGTTTTTAGATTTAAAGTTTGTACATTATTCTTACAGCAAAGGTTTAATTCTAATTATCTTCGAATGACTTCGTTTCATTTCTGTTAACTGAAATTAAACCGCTTATAGAAGTTTTGATAGAGACGTAAAAATATTCCCATTTTTTAAAAGCTTAATACTCGACACGATTATTCGCGCTCAGCACCAATTTCTAGTAGTTACACTATGACTAACATTTCCATTATGGCAAGGTTTGATGCATATTTTTAAATTGGAAGACTGCGACGCTATTATCATACTTGCTTCGATCTCTGACGAGAAAGCTACGATCTTACTTGTATCACGTCGTGACCCCCAATGTCGTTTCACTTTAAAGTTTCACTGTAGAGTTTCTACGATACAGGGGGAGCCGCGCACTCGTGCGCGGCGGGTCATACAACGTATGACAAGATCTTATTCATATTGTGTATACAGTATAGACATAGTGTGTACTGGGTGGCGCTCAGTAGTCAGCCTGTCATTCCGCTGAATCTCTATCATCTACATGTTTATGAACAATACATAATACATAATATAAGGGGCCATCTACTTAGGACGTCCGCCAAAATTTCAGATTTTCAGACATCCCCCTGTCCGGGTGTTGCTCTAACCAGAGCCCTTTTGCTCGCAGTATATTAATCTACTTGTGAAACAAGCGCGTCACGCAGTACGCGTATTCACATGGATATGTGAAGTCCGGGTGTGTCCGAATTTTCAAACCCCCCCCCCCCCCTGTGGATCCGAATTCTCCAACCAAAATTGAACGGAGAATCGTTTTAAATAACCTTATGACTATGATGTATGAGGCACCTCGACAAAAGCTACTCACGCTATTGTGCTAATTGTTATGAAGAAATACGTCAGTAGCGTTTTTGAGCTTGTTATTCTTTTTGTATAAGTGCATATACTAACTTTGATTCTGAATACATTGCAAAATAATTTATTTCCATTTATATGAAGTTTGAAAGAAGTTACAGCAATGCGCGCAATTTGGGGAGTATGCTTTTGGCGGAGATATAAGTAACTGCGCCTTGACAATGTCAACATTTCCAAATCGTTGCTCTGCGAATTAACAAAGCTACTAATCTAGAGCAACGATCTCGTCAGCAACTTCGATGCGAAGTAAGAATAATAAATTGCGCGGCGCGGAAATGGGAATTCTCAGAACCTCTAACAGTGAACGAAACTGAAATAAGTATGCGAAAATTCCACTAGGAGTAACACTCTATAGCAAACTCACATGGAATGAACACATAAATGCCAATGTAAAAAAGCCAAAGGCATACTCATGCAATGCAGGAGAGCCATTGGACCAACATGGGGGTTCACCCCCAAGACCATGAAATGGATATATACAGCTGGAGTCAAACCTTCCTTGACATACGCTGCGAAAATCTGGCTCAATGGTGTGTCCAAAAAACATAACTTAACAATCCTAAGCAGCGTACAACATCTAGGGAATATTCTCATAACAGGAGGGTAAGTGGTTACCATCAATTCCTGGAGCAGCTCTAGACATCATCACCGGAATCATCCCCATCGCCCTGGTGATTGTCATACGTTGTATGACCCGCCGCGCACGAAGTGCGCGGCTCCCCCTGTATCGTCAGGACGATTCACCATAGTGAAACGACCGTGGGGGTCGCAACGTGATACAACCTGGTGATAGAAGAGGTAGCAGCAAAAGGAGCTCTTAGACTCAAATCCAACAACCACTAGATATATGATCCGATGGTTAACAAGAAGAACAACCTAACGTAACCACCCAAACAAAACTTAACGAACAGTTACTAAAAGCTATCAATCTCAATTCTGAAGGGCAAGATCAACATACTACATAACTGAATGTTGACACAGAAATTCCTTGACTCTCAGAGTATGAGGAAATCTAGAACGATACCAACAACATACAATGCTACACAGACGGCTCCAAAATGAATGAACAAGTTGGAGCAGGAGTGCACATTGTGGATAACGACACCCCTCCACGTAATAGGAGTCCTACCAGTACCACCTAGGAACTAACTCAACCGTCTTCAAGGCTGAGACCTTTGCCGTAGCGGCAAAAATATTACGGGAATCTGGAACCAAAACTAGAAAAATCATCATAAAATGTGATAGCCATAAGCCAGGCGACAATAATGGCAATGAGCAATACCAAAGTCAAATCTAAAAGCACCAGCACAGTAATAAGTGAGCTAGCGATGGACAATCAAGTCCTACTATGATGGATAGCTCACAAAGGCTATGATGGTAACGAAAAGGCAGCTACTCCCAAACAAGGCTCTGATAACTTGGACTCCGCCCAAGTGCTACTACCAGCACTGCGGAGTATAAGTCATCGGAAAATGAGGGAAAGATGTAGAACGTTGTCCAACACTCATTTTAAACGAGTATGGACAGTATAACACAAGTTTGCCAGATCAATGCCGAAACTTGGCAAAGAGAGCACAAGAACAGGGACACAATTCCTTATTGGACATTGTGAACTAAACTACCATATTAATAAGGTCAAGCCGACAACAGTCCCTAAAACTTGTCCACACTGTCTCATGGAAGAGGAGACAATGAACCACTTTATTGGTCAGTGCCCAAAAGTGGTCTTTCCGACGAAGAGGATACTTTGACTCCGTCTACCTTAATCTGACAGACATAGTGGACAAATTCTCACTACCAAGGATCATCGGCTCCATACAAGCAACAAAACGATTTACTAAATGTGGAGAAAACAAAGTTTAACTTTTTCCATTAATAAACATTTTACCGGGGTAAGCACAGGGCTCCAATGCTCTATCTTACAGTGGTCATTATCTATCCTAATAGGATTCCTATAGTGATAATGACCACAGCTCCCTTCGAAGAAGAAGGTGTGCAAAGGATTATAAATCGAATGCGAAATGACTAATGAGTAGAGTTGGTAGTGAGGAGTGGAGGAGAAGCATCAAACTGGGCTCCATGCTTTGCAGGAGTGGAGGAGAAGCATCAAACTGGGCTCCATGCTTTGCAGGAGTGGAGGAGAAGCATCAAACTGGGCTCCATGCTTTGCAGGAGTGGAGGATCAAACTGGGCTCCATGCTTTGCAGTAGTGGAGGAGAAGCATCAAACTGGGCTCCATGCTTTGCAGGAGTGGAGGAGAAGCATCAAACTGGGCTCCATGCTTTGCAGGAGTGGAGGAGTGGAGGAGAAGCATCAAACTGGGCTCCATGCTTTGCAGGAGTGGAGGAGAAGCATCAAACTGGGCTCCATGCTTTGCAGGAGTGGAGGAGAAGCATCAAACTGGGCTCCATGCTTTGCAGGAGTGGAGGAGAAGCATCAAACTGGGCTCCATGCTTTGCAGGAGTGGAGGATCAAACTGGGCTCCATGCTTTGCAGGAGTGGAGGAGAAGCATCAAACTGGGCTCCATGCTTTGCAGGAGTGGAGGAGAAGCATCAAACTGGGCTCCATGCTTTGCAGGAGTGGAGGAGAAGCATCAAACTGGGCTCCATGCTTTGCAGGAGTGGAGGAGAAGCATCAAACTGGGCTCCATGCTTTGCAGGAGTGGAGGAGAAGCATCAAACTGGGCTCCATGCTTTGCAGGAGTGGAGGAGAAGCATCAAACTGGGCTCCATGCTTTGCAGGAGTGGAGGAGAAGCATCAAACTGGGCTCCATGCTTTGCAGGAGTGGAGGAGAAGCATCAAACTGGGCTCCATGCTTTGCAGGAGTGGAGGATCAATCAAACTGGGCTCCATGCTTTGCAGGAGTGGAGGAGAAGCATCAAACTGGGCTCCATGCTTTGCAGGAGTGGAGGAGAAGCATCAAACTGGGCTCCATGCTTTGCAGGAGTGGAGGAGAAGCATCAAACTGGGCTCCATGCTTTGCAGGAGTGGAGGAGAAGCATCAAACTGGGCTCCATGCTTTGCAGTAAAGCAGACATTCAGCGTAGGATTAGTTTACTCTAGGCTATGCTGCTTTTAATAAGCAGAATTGAATTGACGGATTAAAACTTGTGAATCTGACCTCCAGCTCGCCTTTTTTGAAAATTCAAGCAAATCGAGGATGTTTAAAGGGTGCAGGATGTTCAACTCGTCAAAATACCGGTGGAAATTATTTGGTAGGCCCTAAAATGACTCGCCCAGATCCAGTCTTATCCTTAAATTGAACATAACTCACTAGCTGAAGTAGCACTGAATTGTCGGATTAAACCTTGACTCTTCAATCTTCACTCTCTAGAGTCTAGACTCCATCAATTACCGTTTCACCATTTCATCGACCTGGATAACCCAGCAAACCTTACTCGCTCCCACTAAATGACTAAATCGCTCGCCTAAATTTAAAAAAATTCTTGTGAAAAGGTCCTGAGCATTTTACCCTATTATACTGTCATGGGGGTGATTCGTAATCAGCGTCTAAAAATATATCGATTATTTGGAGCGGCAGAACCCAGAACAGGTGATGAATAAAATTATTTTTTGGGATTTGATATATATATATTTAATATTTAATATATACATAAGTAATGCAAAATTAAATATGTATATATACATATTTAATTTTGCATTACTTATGTATATTCTTATATTGTAATTTGACCAAAACCCATAATCATGGGTAGAGTGGACCGCTGCTAGTGTCTCTCTTTCCCAAACAAAAGGAAATGATATTAATTTGAATGACCGTCCGCAAATGCAAAATGATACCGAGAATGAAATCGGTCGCTCGCTTTTCCCATTCATTTACAATTGATTAAGAAGAACTACCCGAATTATTCGTAAGCCGTCAAATTTTATGATTGAAAAATTGGTTTTACTTTTACAACATAATATGAGTACACGTCGTGTACTCATATTATGTTGAGCTGTAAAACGATTAGTTTAGCGTCTCTTACTTAGTTCCAATACAATTCCTGAATTTCTCATTGAATAATTATAAACAGATGTAGTCGCTGGAATTCTGTAAGACAACAATTTCAAGAGTGAAACAACAAAAGAGACAAACTTTCAAATTGCTAAATTCTAATATTAACCAGAAATAAGAAGATTCAAATTAGTCTTCTTCTTCTTATATA